TTCATTCACTGATGTATAGGAGTGCAGTGGATTTATTTATAATGGTGTTAATTTTATATCCTGCTATGTTGCAGAATTGATTTATGAGTTCTGGAAGCTTTATTGTGGAATTTTTTAGTCTTCTAAAATACAGAATCATGTTGGCAAATAGAGATAGTTTGAGTTTTTCTTTTCCTATTTGTATCCCTTAAATTTCTTCTTTCTACCTAATTGCTCTGACTAGAGTTTCAAAAACTATGTTAAGTTGAAGTGGTGAAAGAAGGCATCCTTGTCTTGTTCCAGGTTTTAGAGGGAATGCTTTCAATTTTTCTCCATTTAGAATGATGTTGGCTTCAGATTTAACATGTACAGCTTTTATAATGTTGAAGGATGTTCCTACAATCCTTAGTTTTTCTTGTGTTTTGTATATGAAGTGATGCTATATTTTTCCAAATAATTTTTCTGCAGCTATTGAGGTAATCATGTGATTCTTGTCTTTAAGTATGTTGATGTGATGAATTACGTTAATAGATTGCCATATGTTGAATCAAGCTTGCATGGCTGGGATGAATCACATTTGATCATGGTGCACTATCTTTTTAATATGTTTTTAGATGTAATTAGCCATTATTTTATTAAGAATTTTTGCATGTATGTTCATCAGGGATATTAGGCTAAAGTCATCTTTATTTGAAGTGTCTTTATCTGCTTTTTGTATCAAAGTGATACTAGCTTCATAGAATGATTTGTAAGGGTTCCTTCCTTTTCTATTTCATGAAATAATTTGAGGAAGGTTGGTGTTCTTCTTTGAAGGAATGGCAGAACTAAGCTAAGAATTTGTCTGGTCTTGGGCTTTTATTAGTTGGTAGGCTTTTGATGGTGTCTTCAATTTCATTGCTTGAAATTGATCTGTTTAAATTTTCTATGTCCTATTGATTCATATGATTCCAAAAGTTTGTTGATGTCTTCAAATTTTTCTATTTTATTAGAATATAAAATTTTAAAATAGTTTCTGATTATCATCTGTATTTTAGTACTGTCCATCATATTTCCTTTTTTATCACTAATTTTAGTAATTTGTGTTTTCTCTCTTTGTCTTCATTAGCTTGACTAAGGGTTTGTCACTTTTATTAATTTTTTTTCAAAGAACCAACATTTATTTGTTGATTCTTTTGATTTTTTTGTTTCAATTTCATTGATTTCAGCTCTGATTTTAATCATTTCCTGTCTTTTGCTTTTGGTGCTGATTTGTTCTTCTTTTTAAGGGTTTTGAGATATAATATTGGGTTTTTGTTTGATGACTTTCTATTATTTTAATGAATGTGTTCAATGCAATGAACTTTCCTCTTCAAATCTTATTTATAGTTTCCCAGAGATTTTTTATATGTTGTGTCACTATTCTCATTTACCTCCAAACATTTTTTTAAATTTCATCCCTGATTTCTTCTGCTATTCATTGGTCATTTAGTAGCATAATATTTAGTCTCCAGATGTTAGAGTAGCTTCTATTTTTTTATCATTGATTTCTAATTTTATTTCATTATGATCTAATAGAATGCAAGGTATTATCTCTATTTTTTTTTGTATTTGCTAAGAATTGCTTTGTGGCCTAAAATATGGTTTATTTAGAGAAGAGTCCATGTGATGCTGAGAAGAAAGTGTATACTGTGAATGATGGATGAAATATTCTTTATATATCCATTAAGTCTAAATTATTAATTGTATTTTTTATTTCTATAGCTTCTTTGTTTAGTTTTTGTTAGGAGGATCTATCCAGTGGTAAGAGAGGTGTGTTAAGATCATCCAGTATTATTGTGTTGTGGTCTATTTGCTTCTTGAAGTTCAGAAGGGTTTGCTAGATGTACATAGATGCTCCATTGTTTGGGACAGAAATATTTATGATGGTTATGTCTTGTTGATATACAATTCCCTTAAGCAGTATGAAATGTCTCTCTTTGTCCCTTCTGATTAACTTTGTCTTGAAGTCTTCTTTATCTGATACAAGGATAAAAACCCTTGCTTATTTATGAGATCTATGTGAATGATATGCTTTTCCCCATTCTTTCACCTTCAGTCTGCGGATGTCTTTGCCTATGAGGTGAGTCTATTGGAGATAGCATATTTTGGGGTCTTGTTTTTTAATCCCATCTGATAGTCTATGTATGTCTTTGATTGATGAATTGAAGCCATTTACATTCAATGTTATTATTGAGAAATGATTTTTATTTCCTGTAATTTTTATTTATTTCTGGTTTTTAATTTGAATCAATTTCTCCTTTGATTCACTATTCTTCTAGTGTATTTTCTTCCTTTACTGGATTTTACTTTTATTTTTCATTTCCTCTTCATGAAATATCTTATTGAGTGTGTTTTGTAGTGCAGGCTTTCTGGTTGTGAATTTTTTTCTTTTGTTTATCATGAAAGGTTTTTATTTTATCAACTCTGAAGCTTAATTTTGTGGGCATAGTATTTTTGGCTGGCATCCATTTTCTTTCAGAGCTTCCAAGACCTCCTCGCTTTGAGGGCTTGGGTTGAAAAATCAGCTAAGATCTGGATTGGTTTTCCTCTAATGTGATCTATCATTTCTCTCTGGAAGCCTTTAAAATTCTATTCTTAATCTTTATGTTAGGAATTTTCATAATAATGTGCCTTGGTGTGGGTCTGTTGTAAATTGTACATTTGGGATCCTGTAAGCCTCTTATATTTGATTTTCCATTTCATTCTTTATGTTTGGGAATTTTTCTGATATTATTTTATTGAAAAAATATGCATTCCTTTGATTTGTATCACCAAGCCTTCATCTATCCTGGTAAATCTTAAATTTGGTCTTTTCAGTTTATCCCATATTTCTTGGAAGTTCTGTTTATGGTCTTTTAACATCTTTTCTCTATGGTCAACTTGATTTTCAAAATTACTTTTTGTCTTCGTTGCCTGAAATTGTCTTCCAAGTGGTGTAGTCTGTTGGTGATGTGTTCCAATGAATTTTTAATTTGGTTTATTGATTCCTTTATTTTGAAGATTTCTGCTTGATTATTTTTCAGAATCTCTCTTTATTAAAGTGATTTTCACTTTCTATATTTTCTTTCTGATTTCACTCTTTATATTGTCCTTTATCTCATAGATCAGTTTAACTCTATACTTTCTAAACTTCTTCTCTGTTATTTTTTCCACTGTGGCATCAGTGGATTCTGTTATTGAAGTATCTTGGTTTGTTTGGGGAGATTTGTTCCCTTGCTTTTCATGTTGTTTGCCAATGTCTTGGCTGGGCACAAGATCAGGAGCCACATTTGAATCTCACAAGAACTCAACGGGAACAAGCAGCAGGAACACCCTAATTCCAGCAGCAATAATCTTCAACCTCCAACTTCCCTAAAGACCCTATTGTCTTAAACCGGGAACGCCCTAAACTTGTCTTAAACCGGGAACTCCTTAAACTCAAGGAGCGGGATACTTCCGCAAACCTGATCAGCTCTAAACCTGGATCCGCCCTGGTCCTTGAGCAAGGTCAATTTACATGCAATGTCAACAGCGAAATTCCAACGCAAGTCCATTTAACATGGGGTACGCTGGCAAGGAAATTTCGATGCGTCATTCCTACTTGGCAATGGCCCTCAGCAGTTGTTTGTATGTCTATATATCTAACAGTGTCGATCTGAGGCAGTAGAGTTTCTACCATGAGGACTTAGAGTGTCCCTGTAGGTTTCCAGTAACTGACTGTTTAGGGGGAGACAAATAATAACAATAACCAATACAAACAATATACAACATTAAGGCAAATATTTCCTACTATGAAGTCTACCATGTTAATTGTCACAACAAACATAAATGGTATGATCAGTTATTGCCTATAGTAAAAACAGTAAGTTTGCAAAAGCGTTTACAATTTCAAATGGTGGACAGAGAAAAAACAGAAGTGATGTAGGCTGTGATGACTTTGAGGGAGGAGGAGAGAAGATAAAAGTAAAAAATTAAAGGAAGTATGAAAGAGAGAGCAATAGAGATTGGCTATTATCAGAAGAAAAGAGAGAAAGAGAATCCAGGGAAGCAGATGAGTGAGAGAAAATTTTATATGTATATATTAATAAAAGTATATAAGACAAAATTGAAATATACTAATCAAGCATCTTATTCCTCAAAACACTGATCCATGAAAAATAACTGGCTTCATATATGCTACTAAGGGATGGAATTCTAACACAAAGGATCTAAACACAAATGGGCTCCAGAGTCCATTGTTGAGATGGAATTTTATCTGAGCCCTGTGCTACCAGGAAGCAACCAAACTTGAGAAACCTCCCAATGCATGTGCATTTCAGCTAGCAAAAAACCCTCAATCCATCAGAGATTAAGACCTGTCTTTATCCTTCCTCAAGATTCTTGTTGACTTTCTCTATAAACCCCCTCAGTCTTCTAAATGGCCCTGTTTCATTCTTTGAAATGTTCCTCCTTAATGAGCATTTTCACCCTTGCAATGCCTTGTATAGACCCTCTACTAAATTTCTGGTGCCTTTTGCCTTCATGCCATAAAAGCATCAGGTAACCACCAGATCCCCAATACCTCTCAAAACAAATCCAATTTGAAGACTCCTAAACTATTGCTTTGGTTCAGTGAGCCACACTCATTCCACCCATTCTCTCACAATCATTTCAGAAATTTTACCATGGGGAGAAGGCAGATCCATGAGGAGGTGTGAGGTAGGTAAGTTTCTAGGAACCTGATGCAACAACAGAGATACAACTCCTTTCCAAAAAGGAGAAAATACAACTCCTTTCCAAAATCAATCTCCCTCTCTCTCTCTCTCTCTCTCTCTCTCTCTCTCTCTCTCTCTTTCTTTCAGTTCAATGAATGTAAGTGTTCTCCATAGGAAGCACTAGCAAAATTACAATCAGCATTTATGAATATCTCCTATATTCTACCACATAATTTTCTAGGGTACAGAAATCAATAAAGTCCATGTCTTGCTCTCATAGAGTTGACACAAACAGTCTGGTAGCATTTCATCCTACTTCTCTCTATATAGGATTGCTTATTGGAGCACACTGGTTGAGGACAACCATATGTGGACTTTTCTAGAGCAATGAATAATACCAAGTACGGAGATAGATGACTCTGAAGAGTATTATCATCCTCTCTCAAGAAGAACCAAACTCCTGAATTTCTCCCACCTTAGTGTTTGACAAGTGTAAGTAGTTTTTTTTTTTTAAAGAGAGAGTGAGAGAGGAGAGAGAGTGAGAGAGAGAGAGAAATTTTTAATATTTATTTTTTTTTTAGTTCTCGGCGGACACAACATCTTTGTTGGTATGTGGTGCTGAGGATCGAACCCAGGCCGCACGCATGCCAGGCGAGCGTGGTACCGCTTGAGCCACATCCCCAGCCCCAAGTGTAAGTATTCCCCTTGCAACAAATGTTAAGAACCTACTATCTTCCAATACCTCTTTCAGACACTGAAGAAATAATCTCATGGTTGAAGATACCCATGTCTCAGTTTCTCCACTATTTAATGATGTCAGGAGTAAGGCACACAGGTGACATGGTGAGAACACCTGTATCCTCTTGTGTATGACATTTGCTTCCAATCTCCAGGAGGGAAATCCTGAGAATAGATGGTCAAGATCTCCATCTCATTTTTGTAATTCTAACACATCTGGTACTGTTAGTATTTAACACTTCATTTTCTTTTTGCTCAAGATCCATATAAAACATTCTTTTATTTTTTTCTCTTCTGATATTACCATAGATAACAATTTTGTGCTGGGAATCAAAACCCAGGGCTTCACACATGTTAGGCAAGTGCCTGGCTACTGAGCTATATTTCCAGTCCTTAAAGCAAATTATTTTACAGTGTCCTTTGCGGGAATTTTTATAAACCACTTCATTAAAATAAATTTGGGGAAATGTTCAGAGGAAGGTTACAAGCATTGAGAAGGCAATTCACTGTAGTACTTCTGTCATTGACTATGATTACCTGTTTTGCTGTTGTTGTCTCTCCTTTAAGACACAATTTCCTAGCAAGGGCTTTCATTTTGCTCAGCATTTTTATTCTCATGGTAGTTGTCATTAATTAAGTTGCAATTATTGATGGAAGACAGCTAAGAAGCTCCCTGGAGAGCTCACTAGAAGGATGTGGCCTTAGGTTCTCACCCTCCCTGCCCTGCCCAGATAAACCTGTTTGCATCCATTTTCCACTTTCTCTCAAATTCACCTGTTGGCCTTCCCTGGGATTCCTCTCAAGTTATCCTCGGCTGAGGAAAGTGCCGGAATGCAATATCCAGCTTCCTGGGGAGCTGCAGGGATGCCGAGGAGCACATCAGAAGACCAAGGCCAGCTGAGAAGCAAGAGAATGTTCACTGGGCGGGTAAAAACAAATCGAGAAAAAATTAATTTTGCCTGATGCAACAAGGGAAAGAGACCCCCCCATGCCCACCCCATCCCTGCCTTATCTTACGGCATTTGCTTTGTCTTTTTTTTAATATAATCATTAACACATATAAATTGTATGAATTAAAGGATTCATGACATTTCCACACAGAGCTTTTACTTGAGGAAACTTATCACTGCAAATACTTTCTCTGCCCCTTTAAGATGTATGTAAATCTCCTCTAAAAAGCTTTGGCTGTTTTCACAGACCAGAAATGTCTTTCTCAAGGACTTGAGAGCCAACTCTTAGAAATAGAACCATCAAGAAAGACAGCGACCTTATCTCTCAGTTTTGTGGGAGGGTAGGAGCCTAATTTGGCTGGTGCCTGGCTCCAAGTTGCAGAACTACCTCTTGCCATAAAGATAAGTTTTCTTTTTCCTTGGGATTAAGGCGATGAGCTAACACAGAAGGCCAGCCCAATTACCAAGTGAATTTAGGATAAACTGTGTATGACAAATGGTGTCGTCAAGTCCTCTTACTGGAGGACACACACACAAGGGGCTGTATCCGCCTGGACGTGTACAAGGGCAGGACCTCTCTCACTTTCAGGCTTAGTGTTATTCAATAACAAAACCATTTCTTTCTCTTTTCCCTTTGTGGAGAAGGTTCCAGAGTTGGCAGGAGTTCTTTGTGTTTTGTTTTTTTCCCAGTGTCAGGAATTGAACCCAGGGTCTTGCATATAATAAGCACTCACTCTACTACTGAGCTACAACTGCCAACCCTAGAGATTTTGTTTTTAATTAAATTTCCCCAACATCTTCAGGACCTTGGAAAAGAGGACATAAGTGCATCACTTACTCCTCAGAGGCAGAGCTAGCTGTCCAAAGATCAAGCTTAAACATCCCAGGACAGGGGATGGTTTGAGGTCCACAGTGATGCTGGGAGTATAAAGTAGGCCAGGGACACAGTTCCTTAAGTTCAAGGGTGAGTGTGTGTGGAGGGGGCAGGGTGAGAATGGAGACTGCCAATAGCATCAGTGAGGTCTACTGAAGGAGGCTTATGAAAAAGCAGGATCAGGACTCAGGCTTGAGGGACCATGGGCAGCCTGCTTTACTACCCATGTCTTCCCATGTCCAGAGGTCATGGGTCATTCTTGTTCAAATGCAAATTTGACTTCCGTGGTCCAGCCTATGGCCTGAGAGTGTTTATTTCCAAGGAGCTCCCATGTGGTTCTGATGCTCTGTATCTTGGGAACACATTCTGAGTAGCAAAGAGTTACGGAGAAAAATGAAGCAGGAGATAGACCCACACTGGGCACAGGAGGAGCCAGCTGGAAGCCAGAGGAGAAAGTCACATAGCCCTCAGGGCAATCAGAAGTCACTGCCTTGTTCTCCAAGAGGACCCCTAATTATTGTTAGGAATATTCCCTGTTCAGACCCTGGACAGATAATACAAATTCTGGATTATACAGGAATCTGCCATCTTCTAATGGTACACAGCCTAATTTTGACTAATTTTCCTGAAAGTTAGGCTTCTGACTAAGTAGGACCAGATAAAATAGAGGCTACGGGGCCATTTCCATAGGATATAAATTGACCCAAACTCATTGGCAAAGTATAAGAGGGAGATAAGTTTATCGGCCAGAGCCCTTCTCAGACCAAGCCCTGTATGTCTTTGGAGAACACTTGAATAAGCCACTTGTAGTTTAGGGATGAGATTCCAAAGACAGAGTTAGGGTTAAAATAAAGTGCTTCCAAGGAGGGCAGTTTTCATTACCAATTGTAGGCCTTCCGTTTTACTGAATGTGTGTACAGATATGCTTCCACAGCTAGACTAGAAAAGAGGCTGAACTTTGCCACCAGCCCCCATAAACACTGCATTTGATGTTAAAGGAAAATAGAGCTTTGAAGAGGTGTAAAATTATTGCTAGTCTGATGCACCTGCCTATTTAGGTCTGACCTTGCCAGAAAGTTCTTATACCTACAAGGTCTCTTCCGATACACCAGCATTTACCTGGATCCCTTTCCAACCTGCCTTTCTTCTGAGCTTCAGTTTAGAATTCTTTCCTGACCAAAAATTAAAACTAGGTACTTAGCTGGGGCTCACTAGTCCTCTGTGATGGGAATATTCGTGACTAAATGGGGTTTTCTCCCCCTACCCAGACCTTTGAAAAATTACTGATACAGTCATGCAATGCATAACAATGTTTTAATCAATGACAGACTGCATATATATAGTACAGTGGTCCCATAAGTGATGGTAGTAGTGGTAGTGGTGTTAGTTTGTGTAAATACACTGTATGATGTTCACAAAATGACAATATTACCTAAAGACACATTCCTTAAGATGCGTCCATATTATTCGGTGATGTGTGATTATGTATGTATAAAGTACTTAGAATAGAGCCTAAGATATAGCGGGTAATATTTAACTTTCGATAAAAGAGTAAATAGAGAATTTGAGAGGATTTCAACAGTAGCAAGAAAAGTCTGGGTTTATGTTGCAGACCTAACTGATAAACTGAAGGACCCAAAGCCTCTTCTGGTGATAACACAGTGCTGAGTGGCAACTCAAGACAAAACTGGGGAGGCAGAGAGAAAAAAAAAAAAACGAGTAAGGAGAAGGTGGGAGAGTGAAGTGCGAATGTCCAGATGTGGGCACTGTTTGGAAAGGTTGGAGGAAAAAAATCATATTTTGCATCATCTAATATTGAATCCCAGCTCTTGCTCTATATATTACAACCTCCCCCAACCTCCTATTACGCATTTGCTAAAAAGGGCTTACAGTTGTAAATATGTATCCTTTGCAACTCAGAAGCGTCTCTCAAGGACCCAAGTGCCATTCCCACCAATATAACCATGAAAAGAATGAGCCCTCTGTTTCCAAGACTGCATGGGAAGACAGAATCCTAACTTTGATAATTGCCAGCCAACAAACACCAGCTGGCCTCATCTCCTTCACACTAACCAATCTTTTGTACTATTTACTTTTCTGCCTGCTGAATGCCCCCTTCCTCTAAACTGCCCAAATTAGAATGGAGCTAATCTCTCTTCCCCAACTATTAGGTCTTTTTTTAAAAACTCCTCATTTATAGTTGTTGTATAAGATGTTTTACAGAACATGTGGTCCTACTGAGGCAGGAGAAAGAGCTAGGATAGACAGATAGGAAATATGGGCAGCCTCCAATGTCGAGTTTTCACTGTAACAGATACAAGCCAGGTCTCATCAAGGTCAAGTTGATTCCTTTGTAAGCAAAAAATGAGTTGATAGGGAGACATCTGTTGCCTAGTGCTCAGACCCCCTCCAAAAACGTCACAGTAACCTAATTGGACTAAAAGGTTCATGGACACGAGTGTCCTACTTAGGATTGGGTGAGGGGGCTAACTTCCTTGGCTCAGTAGATGCATATAAACCCCTAGACAACAGACACCCATTGGCAACCTCCTGCTTTGGGACACTTCCCCCTTTGGGACCTCTGCTTTCTTTTTTCTGTTACTCTAATAAATCGTGTTACTTGGCTCTCACCTTTGTGTCCGTTGATTTTATTCTTTAAATTTGTAAGACAAAGAACCCACCTAAGCCCATGCTCCATGCTACACTATGAAGCACCTTAAAAGTCTGACCTAAGGATCACCCCAAGATGGAGAGAACTAAGCCTCAGACATATTCAGGAATGGGAGCTATATAGACTACAGTCAAGAACGAGGGGCACTGATCACAAAATTACAACACAGGACTCGAGTAGCATAAGCCTTGAAAGAACAACTTATCCAATCCAGACCAGAGACTATTATGAGATCCATCAACTTCCAAAAGCTCTTGAAAACCCTCTTCACTGGCTGATCAAGGAGATGGATGGAGCTTGCCTCCTGTCTCCACACCAGATAACTTTCAATAAAGCTTTATTTTCTTTTTTAAAAAACCAGTGCTTTCATATTGACTTCTATGCAGGAGGTCAAACACCAAGCCCTTGTTCAGTATCAATATGAAGTATCAGTATCAATATTAAAATTTTATTTCTGATAAAGGATTAGGTAGAACTCTGGCATTCCATCCGGCTAGGATTCTTATTCCTCAATGTGCACTTTCTTTCTGTTGTTGTATTCCAGGTAATATACCAGGCAGATCCCCTCAGGGTGTTCTCCTACTATTAAAGCTTTGGGGATAAATTTCTCAGCATCCTGTGGCATGGGTTAAGAAACTGAATTTACTAGGAAAAAGGAAAATCCCCAAGGCCAATGTCAGTGAGGCAGCATTAGTCCAATTTCACCATCGAGGCAAGGTTGCTGGACATCTGTCCCCTAACCCCACCACAGTGAGTCTCCCTTCCTATACAGTAAGTTGTGAGAAAGTGGCCTTGTTCACTAGAGAATGTACAGATTGCTTGGTGCTAACTACAGGGTCAATTAGGAATGCCAGTTCTCCTCCACCTAAGGACCTTGGAGCGATGGGTTTTGCAGCCCCTCAAGGGAAAGTAAGGAGGATAGAAGACCCATGAGGAGCTGGGTGTGGGCTCTGTGGCTGCTGACAAAATGAGGGAACTTCTGGGTCCTAACTGATACCAGAGGAGCACCCAGAGCCATTCGTGGGCAATCCTGCTTGTTACAGAACACAAAACTCACCTCTGACTAGTTAGCCTTTTTATTTCTCCCTGAGGAAATTTTCTCACATCATTGAATTTTCAAATATCATATTCTATCAGATCATATCCAATATTTTACTCTCAGACCATCACGTAAGCCAGAAATGGTATAAGAGAAAGACAAACATTCCTCAGGAGCGTTTGGTATCTATACAACTCCTCATACTCCCCTCTTCTTTTAAAATTCTCCCATGATTTGCACTTTTTATGGATGTAAAATTCACATAACATAAAAGTTAAGTGTAGATTTGTATGTTATAGTAAGTTCATGTTATTGTGCAACCACCATCCTTGGATCACTCCAAAACATTTTTATCACCCACAAGGAAAAATCCTGTACCAACTAAAAGTTACTCCTTGTTCCCTCCTCTTCCTAATTCCTGACAACATCAATCTGTTTTCTGTCTCTAAGGATTTGCTTATTTTAGGTATTTCATACATGATCTTCTGTGTCTGGCTTCTTTACTTGGCATACTGTCTTCAGGGTACATCCATGTTGTAGCATCTCTCAGGACTTCACTCCTTTCTTTGACTGAATAATATCCCGTTGTGTATACTACATTTGTTTATTCATTATTGGCTGATAGACATTTCGATTGTTTCCACCTCTTGGCTTGTATAAAAAAATGCTGCTATGAGCATTTGTACACAGTACTTGTATAAGTGTCTATTTTCGATTCCCTTGAATATATACTTAGGAATAACATTCCTGTGTCACATGGCAATTTTGTATTTAACTTTTTAAAGAGCCATGATTCTTTAAAAAGATTTGCTATCTTTTGAATCAATTTCTAGTTTGATTTAGAATAGATGACCACTGTGCTCAAGATAGGTTACAATGCTGTTGAAGCAATCACTAGTCTTGAATATTCTGAAACATTTTCCACTGAAGCTAAGTAGAGATAGTATTTATTTATTAAGAGCTGGAAATGTTTCTTCTCTTCCTCCTCCTCTTCTTCCTCTTCCTCCTGCTCCTTCTCCTCCTCCCTCTTCTTCTTCTCCCTTTCCTCCTTTGCTAGGGATAAAACCCCAGGCCCCCCACATGCCAAGCAAACTCTTTGTTACTGATCCATACCCCAAGCCCCTAAAACTGGAAATGTTTCTAAACAAACACTTGTAAAGTTAGCTGAATAAAGTTTTCTTTGAAGTTGGATCAATAAGGAAACTTCTGGGTAACAATTCCAAAGAGGCCCAGGGAATGTAGTCAGAAGTCATGTGGGGACTGGGTTAGAGACAAAAACAGGTTTTAATTTTACACCTTCTATAGTCTAATATCCTAAACCCGCATGCCCTGTCTGCCCCTCCTCTCCTGCACTGCTGTCCCTGATTGGACACTTCTTCCACACTACTTGGGGCCGACAAGGCCTGCCTTGGCCAGCAGGCCATTCCTTCTTTACTTTCCATCTCTCCTGTCCCCCACCCCCGCCCCCAGAGAGATGCTGAGTGAACTTGGCTTTTTGTTTGAACAATGTCTACGGATGGAATGAATCACTCAAGAATAACTGTACCCTTGTGTTGTTTATTTGGCTTTGATTTCACAATGTGCAGGAAATCAGGCAGCCCTGACATTTCACAATCCCCCAGCTTTGCCACACTGAGTTGAATAGCTATTTAAACACAACCCAAGCTTCATTTGCTTCTAGAAAGTACCATCAAACTATTTCCAGAGGGAACATTTTTCATGTTAGAACATATTTTGGAAATTATATTTTTAGCCACCCACCTGGCAACTCACTCCTGGCTCTCCATTAGAATAGCAAGTCCAGGCAGGCAGAGGTATTCTCTCTCACACACAATTAATTCCACCCCTTGTCCTCCTGAATGCCCAAACCCTGACAACATTCTAATGTCACAGCTTTTTCAGCAAATATTCATTGTTTTCCTTTTGCTCTCAATTACAGGAGGCCAGAAATCCTGAACAATGGTGAAAGGGTTAACAGCTGATGTCAGGGCTGAGGTTGGGGCTCAGTCGTAGAGCACCTGCCTAGCATGTGTGAGGCACTGGGTTCGATTCTCAGCACCGAATATAAATAATAAAGAAGTAAAATAAAGGTATTGTGTCCATCTACAACTAAAAAATTAAAAAATAAATAAACAAAAGACTTGATGTAAGTGTCTAGCTGACTGGGGTTTGGGTACAAACTTTGCTTCTGATTGGCTACTTGCTGTTGGACATGATGTTAGTCACCTTCTCTGTGCCCACTTCCTCATCCTTAAAATAGAGAGCATTTACCTCACGGGGCACATGAGGGTCAAATGAAGTAATACAAGTCCACCGTCTGGCACAAGTCTCCCCTGAACAACTGGTGGAGAATAGTGACATATTCATCAGATTTGTCACTATTTCTTTTCTTCTTTTTAGTTCCCTGCTTCCTACTCATCTCCACACCACCCCACCTACACATTCTATTAGTTAGAAGAGTCTATGTTTGTGGTTTCAGGACAGGAAAGGGAACAAGGCAAATGGTTTGCTTTTTTCCTAATTTTTGTATTTTTTAAAAATGTCTGCATCCTTAGAGGAACAATTCAAATTAGTAATAATAATTTTAAAAAAGGAGTTAAAGAAGAGAATTCTCATTTTCCCATAATCCTGTAATCCCAGCCTCTCGGGAGCCTAAGGCAGGAACATTGCAGGTTTGAGGCCAGTCTGGGCAACTTAGTGAGACCCTGTCTCAAAATAAAAAACTGGGCTAGTGGTGTTGCTCAGTGATAGAGCACCCTGGTTTCAATACCCAGTACTAGAAAACAAACAAACAATAAACTAGAAAAGATCCCCCAGACTGGGGAACAAAGATTTTAATGGGAAGCCCTGAGAATTTACCTTGTGATTGGAAGAAACAACAGAGAGTGTCCTTGGGCAGCCTCCCAGAGATGCCCTCTGCCCCGTCATGGCATAAATGTGATAAAATGTTCCTGGTAAATAAACACTCCTTCAGGGATTTGTAACCTGTCTTCACAAAGAAGTTTGCAATGCCAGAACTTTGGAACGATAGAA